GTTTTTAGAATTCAATATAAATACGCCACTCCACTCTTTCTTAGACGCGTCTTTTCATTTTGAAATGATCCCCAAATTTAAGAAGGCACCCAGAAATCTGTGAAAGTGAATTTAGAAAGGCCCAAATAAACTCACAATTACTCCCAAGTTTCTCAAACTGTAAAAAAAAACTTTTAAAAATTAATTCCATTCTCAAGGTTCCCTTGAGCAGACAGCGACATGACAAGACTGGAGTGTTTATTTTTCTCTATCCCTCAAAAACAAAAACAAAACCCAAAAAACCTTCCCATGTCTCTGCAGCTACCCTCTGCTATCTAAATACTAATACATACTAAGGTCCGCCACTTTAGATGTGGTTCTTAACAACCATTCACAAGGAAGAATGGCCAATACTTTAACCAATTAGCCAATTGAGAAACGCCAGAGGTACGTCTTTCACAGCATCCCTTACCTTTTGGAAATCAAGGAGACCTCTTTTAAAATGCAATACTTGATTGTTTTGACCATCTGTGATTGACTGAACTTTGTGAGGTGACTTAATGAAAACCAATCAACACAGAGACTAGTAAGCCAGAGGCCACATTTGGCTTTTTGTGACATGTTATGATTGCTTGATCGTTTTATGTCATTTGGTTTGTAATACAGAGAGACCCACCTTCCGTGCTGGCCCAGGACTACTGGGCAGCTATCCTGTGACATAGGACTTGTAGTTTTCGAACCAGACAAATCGTGGGAAAACCAGGAGAGTCCTGGGCAAACCAGGATGAGTTGGTCACCCTAAGTATAAGTGAAGACTCTGAGTTCAACTAAGTCAGATAAGGTGTGATGGGTTGTATTTTGTAGATTAAAGGCAGTTGTGGACGAGCTGAGAATTAACTGCCATTGTGTGGCAGGTGCCACTGAAAATTGTGAGATGCCCTAGTCGTGCTTGCTTGCTTGGGAGGTAATGCACAAGAACCACCTAGTGACGTCACACAATGTGAAACTCCCGACACCCCTTTTGAACTCCCTCACCTAGCCTCCTTATTGCAAATGCTCAGGTGCGTGAGCGGGGGTGGTTAAATGCGGAGTGATTTCCTGGCTTCTGTATGATGGGAGCGGGAGCACCATGGCTGGGAACACCTTTGGATGTCGCTTTGGTTAAGTGCATAAATTAGGCAGAAAGAATTGGGAAGTGAGGATGCCATGCCTTGGGGATAACCAAGTGACCGTGGGACAGTTAGGTTCAACATGATGGAGCTGAAGCGTGGTTACATGTCTGTGTACAGCCCACAGCTCAACAGGCACCATTCACACCTTTGTCTCCATGAAAGATACCTGCTGTACCACACACCTGCATGGCTGAATGTAGTAAGTTGCCCTGTTTTAAAGAATTTGGTAGGCATGATGGGGCCTCATCCTCTCTAAAGGACCCCAGGTCTTAGGGAGACATTAAAGAAGGTGGCAGCACCACCAGAGATAAAGAAGTGCCAGCAGTCCCCAGGGGTTTCCCTCCTCAGTCACCTCCCACACTGCCTCTCAGGATAATCTTATTTACCCTTCAATTTCTAACCCGGAGGGTTGTTCTTTCTTTCTTTTTCTTTTAAATCATTTTACTGGGGGCTCGTACACCTCTTATCACAATCCTTACATCCATCCCTCCATGGTGTCAAGCACATCTGTACATTCGTTGCCCTCATCATTCTCAACACATTTGCTTTCTATTTGCCTTAGGAGTCTTCTTTGGATGCATTTTAGCGGTTGCTTAAGCAATGGGGCTGCTAACTGAGAGGGTGGCTTTTGTACCTGCCAGCTGCTTCATGGGACAACGAGGAGGCAATTGGCTTCTGTAAAGAAACCCTTGGAAACTCGGGGAGGGGGTGGCAGTTCTCCTCTGTCCTACAGGGTCATTGTAAGTTGGAATTGGCTCAACAGCAGGTTTGTTTTCTTGGTTTTATGTCCACTAGGGCAGAGGCATATATTCGTGTTCTGTGTGTTCACTTGCATTTTTCTGTAGATAGAATTTTCATTGTATTGCTAAATGAGTCCTATTTAAAGAGGAAAGGAAATCCAGAGCTGCTGTGCGTTTTTATGCAGAGGCGATTCCCTCTTAAGTAGCTGCCATCACTAGCCTGTTGTAATCAGTGTCTCGTCTCTGTTTAACTTTACCCCCAAATTGTCTTCTTCCTCACCTCGTGAAGAAGCAGCAAGGCCAATCATGAACTATGGTACTTTCTTAATCTAGGCGTTTGATAGAACAGAGACATAGAAAGCAAGGTCAAATGGAGAACATTTGGAAGTCATACCAGTATTATCCATGTCTCACCAGAGATAACATTTATAAGGTTGATTCGGATGATGGCTATAATTAGGAATCATTTCTTCTGACCCAGGGATGATGCTATTTCAGTGGGGTCATGACAGAAAGCACCCAATTTCCCAATTTATTAGGAAAAGCATGTCAGGCAAGATGCAAAAAGAGGCCCTACTGTGTTAATAATTGTAAACATACAATAAACGAAACACCTCACTGCCATCAAGCTGATTCTGACTCAGAGCAATCCGTAGGACAGGCTAGCACTGGCCCCGTGGGTTTCTGAGACTAACTCACTGTGAGTCTCCAATTCTCCCGCAGAGACTGGTGATTTCGATCTGCTGATCTTGCGGTCCGCAGCACAACTGATAATCCACAGTAGGCATGCTTTTTCTCAATTGAGGCTCCTTGGCGGTCCAATGGCTTGGCTGCTAACCCAAAGGTTAGATGTTTGAGCCGACTGGTCACTTTGGAGTATGTCGCAGGCTGCCTCGACACACGTGGCAGCCTTACAAAGCCTATAGGGAAGTTCTACTTTATCCTCTAAAGTTGTCATGAGTTTAGCATCAACCCAACAGCAAAGGGTTTGGTTTGGATTATATCGACTAATGGGTAAGACGTTATTAAGAAAGACTGCCTTCTCTTTTTGCTGTTTTCAAAGTCAGCTAAGTGCCAAGTGCTGCCAGAGAAAACCCGTAGAGAAAGGGGAACTTGGTGGTGGGGGTTGTGGTCAAGACGGATATCCATCCCTTGGTCCCCAAAGCCCACCTCGGCCTCTTCTTCCCCTTTGCATGGTTTTCACTGTGTGCTCTCTCTCATGCCCCTCTGGGGATGGGGAAGTGCTAGGGGCTTATGGACAATGCTTCTTAAGAGAACGAATCTTACTTACAGTCAGGATTGGACAGGAGTTCCACAAAGTGCACGGATCGTATGGGTATTTGCTATTCACAAAGCCGTTCCCCTCCCATCCGCTAGGGTAGTGCCTGGGTCAGTGACAGAAATGGGCCTGCTTGTGGAATGCATTCAAACGCTGCTGCAAAGGAGTCATGGTGGCACAGAGGATCAAGCTTTGGGCTGCTATCCAACAGGTCATGGGTTCAACCCCCTCAGCAGCTCTGCAGGAGAATGATGAGCCGTTCTGCTCCTGGGAAGACTGGATGCCTTGGAAACCCACAAGGCTGGTTCTCTTCCGGCCTATAGGGTTGCTGTGAGTCAGAATCCATTTGACAGCAGAGAACTAGTTGTGTTTCAGTTGCTGCACTTAAAGTTATGCCATCCACATTCTTTCTTGGCGTAAGAGCCAGAGAGGAGGCTACGTGGTCACACTTTGGTCAAGGTCAAGTTTCAGCTTTGGGGCCTTTGGACTTGCTTTCCCTTCTGCAATCCTCCTCCCTCGGGTATTTGTGGGGTGACACCAAAATAATTTGGATTTCAGCTCAGAGAAACCTTTATTGATCACCTGGCTAATCTTCCCTCTCTCTGCCTCAGCCACTATTGCTTGATATCCTCTGAATAAGTTCCACAGCCATGTCCATTTCTATGGGATTTAGCAATGTCTGGAACTCTCTTGTTCATCTGTTGACCTGTTGCCTGTCTAAACTCCCCCACCACTTGGAGGAAGGCAATGAGTGCTCCCCTGGAAGACTTGTCCACCTGCTTCATTAGTCTACCTCCATCACCTATACAGGTGCTTAATGAACTAGACTCCGGGAATGGATTCCATGCTAAAGTAAAGGATCACCATGATTAATTGCTAAACATGCCTTGGACCCGAGTTACCCTGAATTGCTTTGATATTTAAGGTAGGGTAAAGCTCTCTGGGTCCAGTTAATATTTGTAACTAAAGTGGATTACTTAATTTTGTGTTTTGAGTGTGCATTTTCTTTGCTTTAATACCGTATATACTTGTGTAAGCCGAGTTTTCCATCACATTTTTAACGCAGTTTTTGTGGTAAAATTCGGTGCTTTGGCTCATATTCAGGTGGGCTTATATTTGAATATATATGGTAAGTCTCTCACCCGTATACTGGCATTCACCTTATCCTATCTATCAGCGTGTTGGGAGATAAATCCATCCTAGGTAATAAGAAAGTCAAACGAATGCAAAGGTTAAAAAAAACAAAACAAAAACAGAACCAGGAAGATTGGGTGGTGCTGTTTATGGAGATGCTTTCAATTTGGGTCCTGGTATTTTTATTGTGTAGCTCAGAATGGGATTTTAAGTACCATGTTTTTTTTCCCCCACTGCATGTGATAATGTCATCTTTTATTTTTAAAAGGTTCTAAATTACAGATTTAACTTTATTTCAAATCAAGCACTATTTTTAAATTGCTTTTAATTGGAAGAAAGGAGGCACGAACATAAATATACTATATTTGCAGAATTCAAACAAGTACACATTAGGCTGTGACTTCTAAGTTTTCACTAAACCAAAGACATCAAAGTCCACCTGAAACCTACAGGGATGTTGTTTTCCGGCATTTAGACTTCAGAGGAAAGTATATCAAGTATTGCATTTTAAAATTACTTTCAGCTAACATGTCTGTCCCAGCATTCTCCCCGAACTCACTATGTGTTTTCAGCACATGTGACTTCAAAAATCCTTCATATGCAAGCAACTAGATTTTCTGATTAGATTTTGCAAGATGTACTTTATAAAAACTTGGCGTGTGTGTGTGTCTGTGTGTGAACGACATATTTACTTACAAAATTGAGAGATGGGGGCATCCAGCTGAGGCACATTCCCTCCCTTGGCGTTGAGCTTCTGGACTTGGGTGGGGGGCACAGGCTTGTGTGACTGCCCGGTGGCTCGGTACATGGCTTGGACCCACAGGATTCGATCTTGCTCGTCATCGCTTGCAAATATCACGGTGTCGCCTTCTTTGACTGCGTTGAAGAATGCACGGCCACCCTCCAAACCTGGAACGAAGGGAGATAACCACTTCTAGGCTGAGGCACCTCCAGGTTGCACACCTGATGAAGCGCTGTGACCTGAATCCACCCAGAGGTGCCTCACACTGCAGGCCCAGCAGTCTGCTCATGAAAGGTCAGAGCCACAAAAGCCCTATGAAAAGCACTTCGATGCTGCAACAGGTAGGATTGCCATGAGTGGGAGTCACTCTGATAGCAACTGGCTGGCCTCACCAGGGCGAGCTGCAGTGGTCTGGGAAGGGCACATGCCCTTCAAAAAGAGGAGCAATTTATCTGGTATTTGCAATGGGGAGAGTCTGATATTCAGTTGGCCCAAAGTAGGGTTATGATGTCAAAGGGGGCCTTTGAGCATGTTTGTCTTCCTGTGTCCTGCTGGGGACAGAATTGGGAAGGTGGCTGCCATCTTGGTGCCACTGGCTCGGGGAATATCTGCCCATGGGTCTGTTGGGAGTCCGTGGGTGCTGCAAATAGTTACTGAGCCTGGCTTCTAACCTGAAAGCTGGATACACGGAGGTGTCTTGGAAGAAAGGTCTGGTGATCCACTTTCATGGGGAACAGGACAAATGCTTTATATGGAAGGAAGGAAAAGCCTCTCTTGAGCCCACTTCTTCCTTCTACTGGCCAGCGTTTCTCCCATGTTAAGAAACACATGAATCACTTTGGCATCTTGTTACAATGCTTCTTTGGATTCAGTGGCTCTAGGTTGGGGCCTGAGATTCTGTTTTTTTCTAGGAAGACTTCTAGCTGTGACAGATGGTGCTGGTCTTAGGACCTTCCTTTGAGAATCAAGAGTTTATCTTCCGTTCTTTGACCATAAATCCATTCAAATCGGGCTTATGCCCACTAAAATATTTCATCTTAAGGTTAACAACGACTTCCATATTACCAAATCCAATGATCAATTCAGAATTCTTATTTTAGTCAATCCATTGGACTATTGGCAGTCTTGACACTTAGTCCCTTCTCTTGGAAACAATTTGCCCCCTTGGCTTCCTCCACAAAGTCCCTCTTTCCTCCTCCCTCCCCGACTGCTCCTTCTCAGTCTTGTTTGCTGGCTCGTTCTCTTCTTGGTTGCTCAGTACCGGGGTGGCATAGGGCACTGTTCTTAGACCTCGTCTCTGTGATCTACACTTCTCCCTGGTCATGCCATTCAGCTTGTCATACCAGGATTCCGCCGAGGGTCCCGACAGCCCCTTCTCCTGACTCTCAGACCAGCTTCCTTGATAGCTCCATATGGGTGTCTGATAGGTATCTCAGGCTTATCTCATGGGACACACAATTCCTGGTTGTTCTCCCACATCTCCTCTCATCTCAGGACAGCTGAGCCCACCTTTTTGGTTTCACAAGCACAACATTGGGATCATTTTTGTCTTCTTGTTTTCGCTCACAATCCACTTCTAACATGCCTTGGCGTCCTGATAGATCTAACCTCAAGCGTCCCTAGAAGTCAACCACTCTACCCATCACCAGTACTACCACGTAGAGTCTTGCCATGGGTTAGCCTCCTGATCTGACTCCACAAGGATAGGGGGAAGGGGGGCTTCGAAACATGTGGACCAAACATGTGGCATGATCTTAATTCCATTTCCCACAATATAGCTCCTTATAGTCAACTCTCGATATGGCGGCCAGAGGATCCACTCTTATAATCACCTGAGTCTGACCATGCCAGTACTCTGCTGCGAAGCCTCCAGTGGTCCAGCATTCCACTCAGAGAGAAAGCCGAGGTCATTCACAATGCCCCGCTGGTCTCCATATGAATAGGCTTGCCACAAACTGTCTTCCTTTCCTACGTCTAGATTGTTCCCCAACCACCTCAGGTGTGTGCAGATGAATGCACTTTGTTGTCACCACAGCTGGCCTCTGGCTGCTGCTTCCACACTGCAGGTTTGCAATTGCTGCTTCCTGTGGCTAGAACACTCTTCGGCCAGATTCACACCCTGAGCTCCTTCAGGTCTATTTCTCAATGCCACTCTTGTTGAGACCTTCGCCCACCTCTGTTCCTTGTAACTCAACCCTCTGATTGTGCTCAATGTTTCTCCAGAGTTCTTATTACCTTCTAATAAGCTATATCATTTCCTCTTCTCCACAAAGACATGGAGTTTTCTGTCACCTTTAGTTACTGCTGCATCTCTGCTACCCTGAACCATGCGGGTCTCATCGTAGGAGCTCAATACACTCGTTGGCTGAATGAACGCTCGGCAGACTCGACCTTCTCTATTGACAATTCTTGAGGGTAAACTTGGGAGAAAGAGAGGTGGAGGCCTCTTTGGGCTCTGTGTGGCATGCTTGAAATTAGGATCCCAGAGGCTTGGGTTTGGGGATTACAGTCTGAGGTGCCTTGGTGACACAGTGATTAAAGCATTCAGCTGCTAACCCCAAGGCCAGTGGTTCAAACCCACCAACCACCCCACAGGAAAGAGACGTGGTAGTCTCCGTCCATAAAGATGCCCAGGTTTGGAGCCCTCTGGGGCAGTTCTAAGAGTCCTGGTGGTATAAGTGGTTATGGGTTGGGCTGCGATCTGCATGGTTGGCAGTACGAAACCACCAGCAGTTCTGAAGGAGAAAGACTGGGCTTTATACCCCTGTAAATAAATAGCTATAGTCTTGGACACCCACAAAGGGATCGCTATAAGCAGCATCGGCTCACTGGCAGCGAGTGAGGGGCAGGTCTAACCATTCTAGAGGGTTGCTGCGAGACGGAAACGACAACGGCATGAGTTTGGGTCCTCCCTGGAGAGAAAGAACGCTTTCTCTCATTTTAGGTTCCTCCTCTTGCCCCGACGATGAAAACTCGAGAACACGAGTGAGTGAGTGTGTGCCATCTGGGCCATCCTCTAACTCAGGTGCCTTTAAACCTGCTCCCGAGGCTGTCCATCTTCTGGAAGCAGGCTGCCAGGCTGTCAGGAGTGAGTTAGAATCCACCATCCTTTTGGTGGTTACCAGCTCCGTACAAACCATTGGCACCACCCAGGGGTCCTCTTTCATTAGTAACCCCCAAATTTCCTACCAAGGCCAGCCACTGCCTTGTGTGATGTTTGCCATTAAGGCATCTCCATTGTGCTGACAAGGTTAATCCAGGTGCCTCTTCGGCACGAGTGGGTGTATGTTGCTTGATTTATACTTAGGATTTTCAGGCTTGGGGAGTAATGAATAAGTACTTCTTTATATAGACGGTTTAATGGTACAACATCAACAAAGCTTTAATAAAAGCTTCTGGGTGCTTATAAATATGAAGGGATATGTTACCTCATTTCCTATGGAGTGTTTTGATACGTGTGATTTGGGTTGCTGATGCAGTTAGCAAGCTGGGAAAACCGAATGAAACTCATGAATGGCATGATGAAGATCAAAATTCTGACGGGGTGGTGGGAGGAAGTGGAAGAGCTTTGGGGGAAGACTGTAAACCCTGAGAAGGACCAAGGAGTTAAAACCAAAGTCAAACCCAAGTCACTGTCATCGAGTCAATGGCGACTCATAGGAAGAGTGGTTTACTAGATGGCTATCTTTGGGATAAGCTACTTCGCCACGGTCCGTGAAAGCCAGGATAGATGTCTCTGCAATGGTGTTTCTCCCTGACCTGCTGCCTCCCGCACTGCAAGGCTAGCTGCTGGGCGGGGGTGGGGACACTTTGCTCTTGGGATGACTACAAGGAAATCAATTGATGGGCAGGTATGGAGCAATGGCAACAGTAGTAGCAGAGAGCAATGGAGAGTGTAGAACGCAAGAGAGACGGAGAAAACAGGCATGAAGGTAAGAAGGAGAGCGAGGGGTGGCACATCCACTTGTGACCGACGAGACAGGAAGAGGGGCCAAAGTGAATACCCACGTGTGCCAAAGGCAGCAATTTTAGGGATGTCCTGGGGATGACATCAGCCAGGTGTGATGTGCAGCGCTGTTGGAAGCCCGTGAGCTCACTGTGGACACGGAGCCCAGCCCTACAGGTAGACCCGACAAGAGCTAGAGGACATGCCTGCGGATGATGGAGGGTACCACGCAAGAGAAGGGTGACCAGTTCCCAAGAGAGAGGGAGTGGTGTTCCAGCCACCCATCGCGACGGAATCGATGTACAGTGCTAAGTCTATATGGGGTTGTCAAACGGTAATCCAGCTGTTTGACAAATGGTGCCATTAAGTTGTTCTTAGTGAACATCTTTTTGTTTGAAAACTTACTTACTAACTTGTGATAATAGGAATGGAGAAATTGTGGAGTGTTCTTGGAACCACCTTCAGGGAAAGATATAGTAAAGCATCTTCATTTCTCAGTTAAAACGGGTAAGCTGTATGGCAATGTTACACGATTATTTACCAGTTCCTGAAATGAACATTTCATTCACCTTAAATGGGTAAAGTTTATTAAACACAAATCTTGTGTCTGGACCCCATGACGTCTGGACCCCATGAGGTCGCTAAGGGAAGGAGCCTCAGTCATACCTCCTTCACCTATGGCAGAGAGGAAAAGGTTACAGAGGCAGCTACCCCACAAGCATCGCCCCCAGAATAGGATGAGCAGAGCAAGTTATGTCACTCTGAGGACTAAGGTGACATAAAATACCCGGCGTTTTTCATCACCTCACTGCATGAGAAATTTGGAAACTGAATAAGGAAGACTGGCGACAAAGTGAGTTGTGGTGTTGGTGAAGAACTGTGGTGAAGGATATGGAATGTACAATGGGTGAGAATTGTGGTGAGGGATATGGAATGTACAATGGACGAGAATTGTGGTG